TGCAAAAGCGGCAGGCGCAAGAGATCTTCGGGTGACTGAGGTGTCCTGGCCTGGATCAACGACGGCGCGCAAACAGGCAGGACACGCTCGGTCCTAAGCAGAAGTTACTCCTGATGCTGTATTTTCTAAGTTGCTTGCAAGTGTTATAGTCAATGAATTGTATAACGAAATGTTATACAGAGTTGACGTCTTATCATGATTATTCGTAATATTAATACCAGTAGATTTGCTAAGAGCTGTTATGACAGCAAACGGTATTGCAGCGCTTCGAATAGTATCTAAGTATCCAAAATGAAATTCTCTTCCGATACTCTGCGCCGTTTCGGAATCTAAGACGAAAGTAATAATATAAACACTTGTCAGTAATCGTGCGAATCAACTGTTTGTAATACTGTACGAGTAAGCGTTCGCGCTGGTGTAATAACAAGTTACCGTTATGTCTGTAATTTGTGATATAAGGTCTGTTACTAAGTGAGTATTTGTAGGAATTGTGTTAGTTAAATAAAATTAAAATGGTTTAGTTAAAGTATAAATATGAGTAAATTACCTGTCTAAGAAGGTCGATCGCTAATATTCATACTCATACTAAAATCTATACTTCTGATTCTTAAGGATTTCTTGCACAGTTTAAGTACCGTAAATACAGCGACTAGGTTTAATTAATGTTGTATTCCAAACATTTTGGGCGGGTTATCATTTTATGATTAGATACTCTGTTCTCAATACTTTACTTTTAACTTTGTGTCGCTTAATAGCTGCGATAATTATCGATAAATGTAAAATTTCCTAATCTGTATTTTTGATTCGCTTCTGGTATGCTATTGTAGCATATGTGCTATGTACTCATACATAATTCTGATATCAGTCAAAGAAATCTTAATTCGTTAACTGTATTATTAAGGTTATTTGGTATAAATTTACTAAATTTAATTACAGCGACTAAGATATCGTTGTAATAAAATACCCTAAATTACATAAATTACAATAGATAATGATTGTAATACCATGAATATACCTCGACTAGAGGAAGCTACTGATATTTTGAAATCATAATTATAATTCTGTTAAAGAATAATTTATAGCAAGTATTGCGCTTACCGTAAATCGTAACAGTGGCGACTTCGCTAGTGATTGATCCTATTATATTATCGTAACGACATTGATATAATCCTTCATCTTGTGTAGTTATATTTGATATAGTCAGACGACTATAAACGTAAAAGTTCAAAATTAACTTCATATCATCATAACTTGTCAGTGGATTGCCATCTTTCAGCCAAGTTACGTTAGCGATAGGACTACTAGTTCCATTACATTGCAGTGTAAGTGTTTTTCCATAGATAATATTAACACTTTTCGGATGTTGTATTATTCTTGGATATTCTAGATTTTAAATGATACATGATATTATCGTATAATTTCTATTTGATATTATAACTGTTGTAGATGGTAATAAATTCATTCATCAAGTTATAATTGGTATACATGTATTACCATTATACAAGTTCATTGTATTTCATGATTATCCCAGCCACCCACCCAAAAACGAATAGCTCTAAGGTAGTAATTTCTGCAGAGTAGTAATTTTTAAAATAGTATTCGTTATATCGCTAAGGGTGGCCACTGGGCCTCTAAATTTTGGTTTGATGTAATACTCAGATGAAAATTGAATAAACATAGAATCTTTATAGAGTTTTCTACACAGCCATTTTGATTGTTATATTTTCTTATAACGGTTGTTATTGACAGAGCAAGCTTGGCTTGCAAACGCAAGCGATCCCTTAGACAAACTATAATGATTGGCATAGAATTGACCACAGTACTAAGGCCATTGTACCGCACTGTAGATATCTTACAGTACCTGCTAATCTTAACTTGGTATGTCCATCACCGTACATTAGTTATCATAATGTGCTTTATACCATTAACCAATCTTAATATAGCATAGTACATTACTATTACCGGGATATATATAATATCGAATGATAATACTATCTGTTAATTTTATTAACAAATTCAGCATAAACGTATATTTGACAGTGTCGCTTACCAACCTTAACATAGCATTAATACTGTATATAGTAACCATTCTTATTCGGTAAACATACTAATACGAAAGTTACTTAACGAAATTTGAATTGGTATAGAAATGAATGATCTCTAGGGTTTATGTAAATATTATTGAGAAGGTATTAGTGATTGATACACATCAGTAGGTACTATTAGTTCTATTGCTCTCATGCAATTCGTAGTGTTATCCTGCTGCAGTTCCTCTGTCCCGGTTATTTTTGATTGCTATATATCATATAACAAAAAAGTTTCTAAGAGGATAATGTCAGTTAGTCAGCGATCTGATAGGCGAAAGCGAAGTGAACAACGCGGAAATGCACGATCAGTACGTACATTAAATCAATCTGTAAGTAATATCAGGAATGCTGAAGTAGATAGTACTCCTAGAGATCAGAATCAGTCACCAGGTAATCTTAGGAGAAACTATCATCGTCGTCAATTACATCAAATAGGAAACTTAGGTGATATTGACTCGCTAGTAACAATCGATGATTTTGTAATGTGCGAATACAGTAGTTTATACCCATATCTAGGTATAAATGAAATTTATGCCTTTACTAAAATATCTAATACGAAAATAATGTTGCTATACTTATTGAGTAGTCCATGACTCTACAGTGTACTATACCAATATCTAGCAATAAATTTCATTTATACCTTTACTAAAATATCTAATACGAAAATAATGCTGCTATACTATCTGTTAATTATTAATAAATGGGTATATTATAGAATGGTAATACTATCTGTAAATTATTAACAAATGTGTACATTATCGTAAACCGTCAGCAAAGCGACGGGAGTTTGTACTAGTGATTTATAATCTGTTACTTAATGTGTAATGTACCTACGTACTTATACGGTAGTAAAACAAGACCTTTTCAATCAGAAATACGATATTGCATAATTATGTATCAATTATACTAAATCTTTCCATTTTTCTGAAGATTCAATGATTAATTAGGAAATCATACAACACACTTTTCACTCACTACTATATTAACAAGTAATTAATCTAGCGCAGCTCATCCTCTCTATTTATATAATAGGTTAGTACATTTACCATGAAACGTTGCTTACTAATTAGCATTTTGGGATAGCTAGAGAAATGATATTTATATAGTAATAAAATCGATAGTTAGGTTTGCTAATTAGACTCTGACTAGTAGTAGATTAAGATCTGAAATGGAAATTCTTGTCTACAGCTAATGAAAACTACCCTGCCATAAACAGTCAAACAGCATCCGATAGCCATACGTAGATGGTTGATATTCATTTAATACGATACAGTACAGTATTTTAGCTTCTCAAATCTCACCTAGTGATAAAACATCCTAAATAATTTAATGGAATGTTTAAATTTTTCTACAAATATAAAGCTTAAACTTTATTTTCAATTAGGGGCTAATATGCTTGTGGGCTAATGTATTTTACTAAGTAGATCTATTACTGCTAACGGATTACTAGATATGTACTGATATAGAATTCCATTTTGAATTAAAATAATATCATTTTACTCGTGTGTATATTTACTAATAGATTATATTACTGCTAATGCAGTACTGGATAAGCAATGATATGCAAATAGTGTAATGTCAATTTTTTCAAGCTGGCACAATTATAGATTAAAGATTATTGTATTCAAAAATAAAATTACCATAGACTATAGTACTGAAAGTACGTACACATGTTCATACTTAGAAATTAGATTTCATTGGGCTGAGTAAAAAGTATTAGTCATAATAAAAATACTTTGACTACACGATTATTGAATATTCAACTATGCTTAAGCCTGTTTGGATACTTCTAGACCGATATATATCTAACCTGTTTGATACGATAAACCAATAGAATAAAGAAGGATAGCTATTATTATTAGCACCTTCATGATGTTGTTATATTTTTAGCTGCAGTTGAATCAATCGATTCTATAAGTGGAAATAAAACAAGCCCAGAAGAGAAAGAATGAATATAAATATCGATATTACATCGATTAATATCAAGTAATTACTAATAAGTTTTTAAGCTAGAATTGACGACGATATGAGTTAATATCATTCTACTGTTTACTCAAATTCACCACTATAAGCATTGCTACTCTTTATGAATACCTTTAGCTAATAGATGTAGCGGACTAGAAAGTTGAGATTGTCAAATACAGTATAGTCCCTACCACTGTAGACTTTTCATTGGATTATAGCAATATTCAACAATCATCAAGATTACTATAAACACTACTTTGATAGCTTAGAAAATGTTTGGTAGCTCTATGTAAGGAATCAGTAACACTCCTAAATTGACTAACTTGTTGCTTTATAGGGTTTACTGTATGGTGCGTCATAATTTGTAATTTTTGATATAACTTGCATGTATTAACAAAGTAACTAATTGAACGAACGTTGTTAATTTGATTCCTACTTCTATTATCACATTCAATCTGCTAAGGAGAGTAGTCCGTGACAATTAGTTACTGTAATAGCTCCGCAGAGGACGGTGTCCACTGATTTCGTAAGTTATATGATATCACCGAATTCACAATAGCTTTAATAGAGCTTTCTAAGTATGTAAAGTAAACAGTTTCATAAAATAAAAATAAAGACAAATAGACTTACACACTACTGTATTATGAGCACAAGCAATGACTAAAAAATGCAACGATATTAGCATAAACGTTGTATTGAACTATTTATTAGTAGATCATTTAGTCAATTTACTATAAAATACTTGATTAATGATATCTTGATATAGTTAAACTTATTTCTATAGGTGTCACTTAAAAATGGAAAAATACTGTTTGGGTTCATCGAATTATGGTAGAAAGCAGCATCATGATCTTACGATATCGTTCGTTATTATAACACAGAAGGTTAATGTATTCTTTCGCGCAATGTTTGCTTTACAGCTTACCATTTACAGCGTTTCATGACAAGAAAATCAAGTAAATTTAAACAGCATGTAACTAGTTTAGCTTTTTGGGTATAGGATTTAAGTAATCATGTTTGTTTTATATTTTACAGTCAAACTAGTTCAATATGTAGATATTTCAGACATGATTGATCTACCTTTTAGACGGATATAGAGGCAACTGGACTGCTTCCTTTAACGTGGAACTATTTTAAAAACGCCCTAACTTAGATAGCTTGATCTCGTATGTTAAAATAGTGAGAAAAAAAGTAGAGGGACATTAATTTTAATAAACCAATTTTCACGCCGTAGTCGAGATGACCTTTGATGGCTTATATTGAATACCCTTCTATTTATTCCTCTAGCTGCGATCTCGTTTTCATCAACAACGCCCGGCGTGAATTCCATTATCGACTAGATTAATGAATCTAAGCCAAGATGGAAAACCCTGGTTCTTTTCATTCCATTAATTGTATAAAGATATCCGATTGAACAAAAGCTTCGACTAGGCCCTAGTCGTTATTGTTTCTTGTCAATTTGGACGATATAGTCCCGTAGAGATAGAGCAGCACTGTACCACTTGTTTGTTAACGGCTTCATTCTACAGTAAGCGGGGTGCCATTTAAAAAATTCTTACAGCCAATTTGGTCAAGGCTAATTGGATGAATGGAAAATTGAATGTGTTGGAGACGCATTCCACAAAACGCCATTCTATGAGATACTGTATGAGTATGCAATAACTCCATTAATTAATATAGACTATGATTGAGAAAGACTTTTAATTCTTCGAACTTTGAAATAGTTATTGAATAGATTAATGAACCTAAGCTAAGATAGAAAATCCTTGTTCTTTCATCCCATTGATTGTATAAAGATGTCCGATTGAACAAAAGCTTCGACTAGGCCTTAATCATCATTATTTCTTGTCAATTTAGACGATATAGTCACGCAGACATGGGGCAGTGCTGTGCCACTTGTTTGTTAACGGCTTCATTCTACAGGTCCACAGTAAGTGATGCCATTTAAAAAAATTCTTACGCCCAATTTGGATAAGCCTAATTGGATGAATCGGAAATTTAATGTGTTGGAGATGCATTTCACAAAACGCCATTTCTATGAGATATTGTATGAGTATGCGATAATTCCATTAATATAGATTATGATTGAGAAAGACTTTCAATTCTTCAGACTTTGAAATAGTTATTTCAGCAAACGCGTTTCTTTGGAAGTATTATTAGTGTGACTATTGGGGCATAGCTTGATAGAATGCCGATCCATATCATGAACTAGAGGGGCAGCAATGTAATTATAAAGTTTTGGTTGACATTTACCGTAAGACTGATGATTTCAGTTTATCTTTCAACACTAAATAAGTCAATATAATATGGCTAGAGAATAAATGCTGCTACAATACAATTAGTTCTATTCCATTTCGTATTGTTTCATGAGAATTAACTCTTTGCCTAACTGAGTGGGGACTGTACGCTTTTGTCCATTTTAATTATCAGAATTTTCGACTTCAATAATGATACAATATTATTATACTGTCCAAGTATGGATATTGTCTGTATATTGTTAGGGTATTTTTAACAGCGGAAAGTGCTCAACGTAGAGTTGTAATATTTACTCGTACTCCTATTCTCTTACCTCTGTCATGGACGATAGCCAGTTAGAACTGCAGCGAAAATTTTCTATCATAATTGTAAAATAATTAATTATGCTGTATTGAAATTAGATGATAACCCAGTCGCCATTCTTGCCAAGTTCTCGCTCTGATTGATTTAGATAATACATGTACAGTATATACTGTACAGTAGAATAATTATAATTAATCATATTGTATTTTGGAAAGGAATCAAACATTTGTTCTATCTTCAGTATCTTGAATAGTACTGTATCATCCATAGTTGAATTCTCGAGAGAC